GATATGTTAAACCCTAACCTCTGTTACCTGTGAACATGACCTTGTTTGGAAATTAGGCCTTTGAAAATGTTATCAGTCAAATTAATATGAGGTAACACCAGAGTAGGGGAGTAGGGTGCGTCCTAATCCAATTTGAGTGGTGGCCTATCACAGAGCAAAACAGATAAAATAAGCCTACACAGGTCTCCTTTCTTCTGCTCTTGCTCCTCAGAGCCCATTTTCCATACTGAAGCCAAAATCATCTTTATAAAAAATAAATTAAATTGCATCAACCCTCTGCCTACAGCCTTCTGCTAGCTTTCCATTTCACTTGGAATAAACCGTAACTTCTTTTTAGGGCCTAGCAGTCTCCCCATAATATAGCATATGTCTATCTCCCTCGCTCATTCTATTCTAGCCACATGGTTTTCTGTTTGTTCTCTGAATACACTGAACTTCCTGCCACAGGCCCTTTTCAGGGCCTTCTGCCTCAAACACATTTTTCTGATTTTCCTATGTCTCGTTTCTTCTCCTTATTCAGCTTCAGCCCAAACGTCCCCCGTTGGGGTGGCTTCCACTAGCACATTCTTCTCAGTACTTTTCCCCAGCTCATTCTGTTTTGTTTTCATTATAGCATTTGTCAGACACAATTATCACATTTCTTTGTTTGATTACAGAATGTAAATCCCATGAGAAGAGACTTGAATTGTCTTGTTCACCACTTTAACCTCAGTGCCTTGGGCAGAACGAGGTCCATACTAGGCATTCAATAAGTATTTGTCAAATGAATAAATTGAGCACTGAAGTAGTTTAACCATAGCTTTTACAAAGGAAAAATCCTACCCACTTGCTTAATGACACTAATTGCACAGCCTTCGTATGGATCACTCCTCAACATACAGAAAACAAAAATCTTCACAACTGGCCCAATAAGCAACATCATGATAAATTAAGAAAAGACTGAAGTTGTCAAGGATTTCATTTTACTTGGATCCACAATCAACACCCATTGAAGCAGCAGTCAGGAAATCAAACAACACATTGCACTGGGCAAATCTGCTGCAAAAGACTCTTTAAAGTGTTAAAAAGTAAAAATGTCACTTTAAGGACTAAGGTGCGCCTGACCCAACTCATGGTGTTTTCAATTGCCTCATATGCATGAAAAAACTGGGCAATGAATAAGGAAGACTGATGCCTTTGAATTACGGTGATGGCAAAGAATATTGAAAATATCATGGCCTGAGAGAAGAATGAAAAAATCTGTTCTGGAAGAAGTACAGCCAGAATGTTTCTTAGGAGCAAAGATGGCAAGACTTCGTCTCACATACTATGGACATCTTATCAGGAGGGACCAGTCCCTGCTGAAGGGCATCACACTTGGTAAAGTACAGGATCAGGGAAAAAGAGGAAGACCCTCAAGGAGATGGATTGACACAGTGGCTGCAACAATGGGCTCAAGCATAACAAAGATTGTGAGGATGGCGCAGGACAATATTTGTTCTGTTGTACATAGGGTCGCTATGAGTCGGAACTGACCCAACGGCACCTAACCACAACAACTGAGTAGAAAAGGAGATGTAGCGACAGGCCAAGAACAAAGTCCTTTTTGGTCTCATGTAGGGAGCCAATATTTTGCTGATAAATACAACTGGCTTGTTTCCATATACTTAGTATACGGGGTAAAATTACGAGAAAAATTTGCTTATCCCTATGATGAGGGAATGCATTTTTCATAAGACACTGGTAAAAATATCCATTACAATAGAAATGAAATAATTTTATCCAAACACTAATAAGTGATTACCAAAATCTGAAACATGCCGCTACATCAACTTCTTCTCTCAACCCACACTAGTCCCAAATTAATAACATTTCATTTACAGAAGACAATTTTCTGAACCTTTTCAGACATGACCCTGTGATGGGCCCTGTAATGGCACCTTGATATTGCGCTGTGCAATACACATCACGGCCAGCACACACAGACACGTTATCTGCAGTCAGAAGTCTGGCAAAACGAAAACTTTCTCTTCATTTCCAGGAGAGTCAGTTTAGGAAAGAACATGTTCTAAGCTATTAAACGTGAAACATCTGTCCAATATATAACTTTCTGCTAGATTGTTTAAAAATAAGCTAAATTTCATTAGAATCATTCTAGTAGAATTGAAAACGATAGACCTCAAAGTTAGCATTTTATCTGATATTCTCTTGTAACCCTAGAATGAAACTTAAGCATGAATAATCAGAGATCTTCACATTTATACGAAGATGAATGAATGAAGCTCAATTTAACACAGGAGTTAAAAAAAGTGGGATTATTTTCCTCTGCCACCTTGAAAAGCATATGACTTAGAAACCTATGAATCAAGGAGGGAAACAGTATAGTTAATGGACAACTAATCAGCGAAACCTCTTCCTAACAGTTGTTATAAACCTTTATTTCCTGGGTATCTACTTAGTTCATTGTGAATATGTTTTCTTATGTCTGTGCACGCTTTCCTATATAGCAGCTCCATCCCTACTATCTAGAACAGGGTATTCCAAACTGTTTTTACCATGTATCGATTCCATAAAAAACAGTCTGAGCACACACCTACTTGATATGTATATTCATATATTTATAATCTACATGCATGTGCTTTTACATTAATATATTATATATTTTATATGCCTTTATAACAATAAAAAAAATTTTAAAGAATGAGATGTAATAAATATATACTGAAGTTCTGGTTTTTCCTTCTTGTACCCCAGTGGATCATCTTGTGTGTCCTGTAGAGAATGCTTACGCTGCCTTGGAGGCCACTAAGATTTTGTTGTGTTCAGCTGAGAGGAGCCAATTAACATTGAAGCTCTTTTGCTTTTACAATCACTTCTACACTAGAGTGTTCAAATAACCTAGATCTGCACACCATACTGGAGCAGACACTGTGAAGTGCCTACCACCTAGATCCTCTTTCAGGACCAAGGCACTCATTCCCCCAGCTGCAGGTAGTATTGCTGGCTCTTATGACTTATAGCTGATGACTCAAGCTCTGCTATTATCCCTCCTCCCCAGCAGCCCCCATCAAATGACAGACCAATGCAGAGGAACAAAGGCCCACCCCTTTGTCTCAATTCAGGACAACCTGAAGGGTCGTTCCAGCTTCAGAGTTCCTACTGGGTTCAGATGAGGCCTCTGTTAGAACCACAATACAGTAAAATTGCTCCCTTGTCCAATCCTACCTCCTCCATTCCCGTATGATTGCAAGGGAACTCTGCAAGAAACTTCTGAACACAAATCTCTATCCCTGAGTCTCTTTCTTGCGGAACCCCAACAAAGACACATAGATATCAGCATATACTTAGAAATCTAGTGTGCTTCTATATTTAGTTCCTAATAGATTGTGTATTGGGCCTCCGGAAACTCAAGCATTAAAGTAATACCCTAAGTTGTCCTGAACCGTCACAAGGCTCTCGCTGAGTCTAGACTAATTTCGGCTGGAGTTTTGGTTGTTTTTCTTACCGTGGAGAAGAAAAGCTCCAATTAAGAGAGAATTTGGTTAGAATAGTGACTTCCTTCCTGATTTCCTGAGCGACATTCATTGATGAACTTAATATCACAGCTTCTGAGGACAACAGGCTTCCTCCATGCTGACCTCAGCCATTCCGCCTAACCTCTGGTCTGACTCCCACTTGACCCCTCTGTTCACCATCGCTTCAGCTCCTGACCCAATCCAAACACTACTCAGTTCCAAGAAATACTCCCAGCACTTGACCCACCAGCATTGTAAGATACCTACTCACTTCACCTTGGAGGTTTCTCTTTGAAGGGAGTGGTTTTACTCATTAGAGGCTTTCTAAGGAAGCTAATAGTCATGGTAACACTTTTCTCTTATACTCTTCTAAATAGAACATTTTTTTGGTCCTGCCACTCAGAGTGAGAGCTCTGTTTACCCAATTCACCATTCATGGAATAAGCAAAATAGCCATTATCCTCCCTGGAAAGTGAAATTTTATTGTATTAAACACAGACCAAATGTCTTTATTATGTATCATTTCCTTAAAAAGTAGAGAGGTGAAAATAGAATCCTAAGAACTGGCCCCACATAATCTTAAACTTTGCAGAACAATTATGAAAAGCATACCAATGACTCTGGAATACTTTAACATGCAGGAAAACTCTGTAGTACTTAGGTATAGTATCTGACACTCAATATTCTCACTTGAAACATGTATCAATCATCCATACAAAGTTTTGCTTAGAAAAAATGAAAAGATATGCATATATAAATTGTTGTAAAATGACTAATAGTGAAAGAAAAATCCTTCTTACCCCAAACACCAATACATGCAGAATGGAGGGTAGTCCTTACAACATATAACATAATATTAGGTTCTAATTAATGAAGTATTTTAGTGAAATTCTCTTTTGATAAATATCAATAGTTGAGTTCACACTTTATATATGCCATGCATTAAAAATAGCAGTATATACTCACTTAATTATATAATATTACTAAAGATAAAACAGAACTATTTCCTAAGCAATCATTAGGTAGATTATGCAGAAGTTGAGATAGGAAATAAATAAGAGAAGTCTTTATTATTCATTCATAACTTTTACTGAAAATGCAGCAAAAATCTTCACAGCAAGACTCAGAGGGTTACCAGGAAGGCAGCCTTGGCATCTTTCATGCACCAGTATTTGTTTTTCTTAATGAACACATTGGTTCCCACATCAACGGGCTTATTCATAGAGGATGAAGTTTATCTTGAAATTCTCAATATTTATTGAAATGCTGAGGCTATGGCTTGCTTCTTACAGATACATATTGTCCACCAATTACAAAAAATACTTCACAATGACTTTCTATATGAAAATCACTCAAAATAATACTTACCAAAAAAACCTAGATACAAATATTTTATGCCAATACTCAATTTTAAGTAAGATTATCACATAAAATTTTATCCAATATACTGGAAATAAACCACTTAGTATTTCATATAGAGTATACCAATATAGGATCAGCACTTACCTGGATAACATGCTTCAGTTTATCAATAATCTGATTAATCACAGGATCAGTTCCTTTGACTTTCACTTCAGGATTTCCAGATTGGGCTTTCATCCCATTTCCAACCACATGCTGAGTGTAGCTAATGAAGTGAAAAGCGAAAGATACATGGCTTAGTAACCTGAGAAGAGATTATCTGCCACAGCTATTTGAACAAATTTCACTTCAGACTTTCACTCATATAAGAGTGAAATTTTACTCCTATCAGAGTATATATCAATGTATTTTTTCCTTGGAACATAAGCTGGGACTCTTGCAATATTCTCCTATGTAAAACTGCTGATAATCATGCAATTATAGACTATTTTAAAATTAATGCCTTTCTCTCAAGGATGCAATCAAGAAATTAATTATGGTCATAAAACTATTTCCCAATATACTAGAAAGAGTTAGTACACATCTTACCTTGTTATCATTCTTGCTGAATTGCACATATGTCTGAATCTACATTATCTGGGCCAATTTGATTCATCATATACAGTTTACGGATAAACTTAAATTATTTTGTAGCCCAGTATTTAAAAATATCTTTTAAATACTGGGCTACAAAATAATTACATTTGTATCTTAACTGCACAAGTCAAAATCATAAATATTATAAATAAAAAATTAAATCAGCAAAATCTTTTGCAAGTAAAGAAAACATAATCTACTTTCATGAAAGTTCACCCAAACAAGGATCTAGTAAATTATGTTGTACGTAAAGTGTGACTTTACCGACAGTGAAAACTAAGTGAAGATTTACTACCTTCCCCAAATGAAAATATGTATAATATTAATTTAGTATTCATGCAATTATCTAAGCTCATCAGCCCCAAAAATGTACGAAGTGCCTACAATATTTAAGGTCCTATGTTAAGTGACTAGGTTTATAAGGAGACATAAGACTCAATTCTTGTCCTTACAATACTCAATATCTACCTGGGAATATAATGTATCACTTAACTCATTCATTCATATGTTGACTCACTACATTTTACTGTATTATTAAATACCTACTAGAAACCAGCAAAACAATTTTCCTGACATTGTATGACAATGACAACAGAATGGAGAATTAAAATATAACCTCATGAAGTACATGTTCAGATGCTATGAAGTAGTTAGAAAGGACTGTAAATGCTGAGGGAGAGGTGGGCATAGCACAGGGAGAAGACATTCAGAATGCGGAGAACTCCATTTGGACTAAGGCAATTGGGGAAAGACTAAAGGAGAAGTTTTATGGTTTAAAGTAATCCTTGGGGTATTAGGTTAGAGTAGGGCTTAGTGAGGTTAATGTGGACTCCACATCGCAGCAGGGGAAAGGCAAAGGCACATGAATAAAGTATACATGGAAGAATAACTAGGCCTCAGTTTACGACAGTGGAGAGTACAAATGGGTTAAGGGACTGTTATTAATTGAATTGTGTCCCCCAAAAATGTATGTCAACTTGGCTGGGCCATGACTTCCAGTATTGTGTGAGTGTCCACCATTTTGTCATCTGATATGAGTTTCCTATGTGTTGTAAATCCTACCTCTATGATGTTAATGAGGCAGGATTAGAGGCAGTTATGTTAATGAGGCAGAACTCAATCTACAGGATTAGGTTGTATCTTGAGACAATCTCTTTCAAGATATAAAAGAGAGAATTGAGCAGAGAGGAGAGGGACCTCATACCACCAAGAATGAAGAACAAGGAGGGGGGCACGTCTTTGGACTCAGGGTCCCTGTGCTGAGAAGCTCCTAGACCAGGGGAAGATTGATGACAAGGACCTTCCCCTAGAGCTGACAGAGACAGAAAGCCTTCCCCTGGAGCTGGCACCCTGAATTTGGACTTCTAGCCTCCTAGACTGTGAGAAAATAAATTTCTGTTTGTTGAAGCCATCCACTAGTGGTATTTCTGTTATAGCAGCACTAGATGAGTGAGACAGGGGCCACATCCTGATGGGTCTATCCTCTATGTTTAAGACTCCCCTCTGAATAATTTATCTGTGCTATTAAAATATCATAATAAAGTGTCCTCAGAGACTCTTCAGCAAGACTTTTCACATTATTTGCATTGTAATTTTCCTTCCCCCTATTTGAGAAGACTATTACAAGTATTCACATGGTCCCGCTAAATGTTCTACAATAATGCAAAGTCTTTGAAGAGATAAAAAGAGGTGCTCACCATTGAGAGTATAGCCATATAATAGTGGTTTTAAAGAATATTCAGTTATGCCCAAGATTATGTACTCCAAATGACCAATTTTTAAAAAGTGGATCAAACAATTCCTAATTCTATCCATCAAATAATAGATGACAGAACTCTTTGATGTTGATTATCAAGATATGAAAAATGTAATAATATTAATATATCTTTTGATTTGTAAAACAACGTAACCCACTTCTTTATGTGAGCACAGAGGAGTTCAGAGTTAGGTATTCCAATATCCATTAGAGATTTGGCAGTATATATCAACAACAAATGGTAGAAGGAACACAGTTATGCCTATGTTGTGAATGTAATAATATTCTTTAGTTAGGTAGAATCAAATAAACTATAAATGGTAGACTTCACTTAAATCCTCTGTAGCATTATTATATTTTCCTTGACTCTCCCTATATTTCAAGAAGATTACATATGTGGCTTCTACATTTGTGTTGAATAGCAATAAGGTTGGTTGGTTAATATAAATAAATAAATGCATAGCTTTGATCCAGGCATTGCTTTAATGACTTTATTTGGAGTTTGTCCATTCATCTTTATGATAGCTTCTCACGGTGGCCATGAGCATGCACCCCACAGACATCCATCTATAGGGAGTTTAACTGACTAATGACACTGCTGCTTGGTTCTGAAATCCGTTTCTGCATCAGGCTCAGCCAGTGACTGAGTGCAGCAAGGAAACTGAAGCAAGTCCATCCCTGGGAGACAAGGAACTCCAGCTTTGGCTCAAGGATACCCTGAAGCCCTTGATAAACCTTCCTTGGACTACGCATCATATCAGGATGCTTTCCCTCAACCTGCGTTCCTCTCTCCACTCAGGATCAGACTGGCATCACAGCTGACAGTTCTTCCAGCCTTACCTAGCTTCTTCGCCATTTCCTCTCCTAGGCATTTCCCTTAATAAAATTCTCTTGTGTTTAATTTTCTTTGGCATCTGCTTCTCAGAGGACCCAGACTAACGCACCATATAATAGACCTTAATTTTTAGAGCAGTTTTAGGTCTATAGAAAAATTGTGCAGAAAGTACAGAGTGTTCCTAAATACGCCCCTACACACGGTTTTTCCTATTATTAACATCTAGTATCCCTGTGGCACATTTGCTTTAATTGATTAACCAATACTGATACATTGTTATCAACTAAAGTCCATAGTTCATACTCCAAAAAAATCCATTGCCATCAAGTCGATTCCGACTCATAGTGACCCTATAGGACAGAGTAGAACTGCCCCATGGGTTTGTGAGGAGCTGCTGGTGGATTCGAACTGTGGACCTTTGGTTAGTAGCCATAGCTCCTAACTACTGCACCATGAGGGCTCCAACATACACACTAGAATTGTTTAAATATAAAACGTAAGTTAAACTAAGTGCTGGCAAGTATTTACAGCAATTGGAAGTCACTCTTACTGTGGGTGTGAGTCCAAAATGTTATAAATCATTATTTGGCATGTCTGCTAAAGTTGAATATATCCTATAACACCTGGTATATACCTCACAATATTCAATAAAAGACAGGTACAAATCTGTTCACATAAGCACTATAAAATAACTCCACACTGGAAACAATCCAAATATGTATAAAGTCCAGAATGTACATATAAATTGTAGCATATTCATACAATGAAATATCATACTGCAATGAAAATGAATGATGAACAAATCTTACAAAGTAAATATTGAATGAAAAAAGCAATACACAGAAGAGTACATACTCTGATTACACTTATAAAAAATTCAAAATCTAATCAATGAAATTCCAACCTTCCAAATGATCATAAGGGCCTTCCTAGGAAATAGTGTCTAGAAGAAGGCTAGAGGGAGTTTCTGGGATTCTAGCATGTCATTTGGGTGCTGGTTACATAGGACTGTTCATTTAAAAAAAATATATATTGAGCTGCACCATTAAGATTTGGGTACATTGCTACATGTACATTCTTACTTAAAACATTTACATTAATGTCTTCGTGCTCTTTTCTTCATATGCATATAATAGACAAATTGCATTAAACCATGTATAAATAATAAATCTACATAGGTATTTTTAATATGGACTAAATGGTTCTATTATTATTAAATGAGTAATTTAGGCCCCTAGCATGATATTGAAGCTCAGCTGCTAACCGAAAGATTGGCAGTTCGAATCCACCAGCTGCTCCTTGGAAACCCTATGAGGCACTTCTACTCTGTCCTATAAGATCGCTATGAGTTGGAATCAACTAGATGGCAATGGTTCTTTTTTCGTTTTTTTTGAGCATCATATTAAAACTTCCTCCCTTCTCGCTTTAATCTGCATGCAAAAATATGGTTTTAAATCAAAGATTTTCTAACAAAGACTCTTGATTTCAGTTTCTTTTATTATGAAATTTTAATAAATCATTAATCATTCTTTTTCTTCCTAAATGTACAAGTAATGGATAAAACATTTCAAAGATGCCTATAGAGGTTGCTTGACTTGAAAAACTGTTCACCTTTCAATGAGAAAGAGGGAACAAAACACAAAAAAAGAGACAGAGGCTTTTTTGTTGTTGTTGTTAGAGAAGTAATAGACCCACCATCTATGCTTATTTCTTCTGAGCAAGTCTGGTAATGGATGACAACAGTTTAATAGGAAGATTCTTTCCCCAAGTACTACTCATTTTCATCAACATGGGGGGAAAAAAAAGGCAAGTACTGATATACTCGCATTCTACAAAAATGTTTTTAAATAATGCTTAACAAAATTTCAGTTCTCTCTGTGTTCAACATATGAAATACACAAGAAGAGGGCTAATGAATCTATTCTCAGGATGTCACTAGGAAGTCACTTCTGACTTTACCAACATTTTCTATTTGAAACTGATACTATGCCCTATTAGCTGACATTGGTTTCATTTTACACAGAACACAACAGAATTT